TTATGACAGCCTTGTCTCTGCTTGGAATGCATGGTATTTTCTGGTTACAATACCATTGCTTTTTAGAAGAGTGAGGTCACAGGCTGCAATGTTATCTCAGAAGTCTCCTTTTGATTTACAATTATAAGTAAATTTGACAATGAGGATGTGCATGTAATATAGTTCACTCATAAGATACTTCCTAAAATGTGGCCTCCTTTAAGTGTTCGGCATTACATTCACCGGGCCAATCACCATGAATCAGTCGCTCCTGCCAAAGCATTACATTACTCCTTGCTGTTCAGTCCCTCAGGGATTCACTGGCTCTGCAGTTCACACTTGCATTAGTCACTGGTATTCTAGTCAGATTTGAATTGACCAAAGGACAAAGAGGATTTTCATGTTGGTGTAATAATGCAGTTGTTTCCAAAACGAAATATTTTTAGAGACAAAATAAGACATATGGAATGTGAATCGAGATATTTTGTATTTATGTGTTCGTAATATATGCCCCGCTCATGACATCCTCTTTTATGTAATCATTCCAATTCCACACATTTAATATGGACTATTTTGTGACCTCCTCAGTAGAGTGTTTTCTCTATCCTCCTTTTTCATAATTTCATATTGGTCCACAAGTTCTCATCGGCTTTCTGCTTCTAAATTGTTCAGTCACTGCACCGAATTTAATGGCAGTGACCAAGTTCCCAAACTACAAAATACCATAAGTTCAATTGAATTTTCTTATATTCTAATTTATAAAATACTGACGGTGGACAAGAAGACAAAATCTTTCGGAATATATTACCAAATTCAGACTCCCTTTAATTCTGTAATTAGTCTTATCTATATTGCTACTGTTGTTCCCAAATATTTGAACACTGTCACGGTTTGAATGGACCTACGCAATGATTGTTCCCCTAATCTTGTCGGAGGCATGTGGATGTACTTAGATAAAGTTGCATTTATTTTATCGCAGCTTCACAGTGGTACACAATAAAGAAAGTTGAAAAGAAATGGAGATGCCATGACCACCACTTCATTTTAGAGGTGCAGTTGGAAACATTCTCTCATATGTGGGGCAGGGCGGATGATAATAGGAAGCACTGAATTATAAAGACTGACAGGTGCTTTGCTGTATTGCAGAAACTTTGGAATGTAGTCCTTCTATGAGAATTACATCATCCCAGGGTTGCATGAGTGAACCACTGAAGCAAGAGTGTAGGAGCGTCAAGAGCAACCAGACTGTTGAGGGCAGTGTGGAAAAAATAATCAAGGATGTTGACCATGTCAGTAGTGAGTCGGTGGTCAGCACATCAACGGTGTGCTCGGAAATCAGCGGCCATGGCAAGAAGGTAGGTATTTGGCTTCACAATGTATCAGTGACAGAATGAGAACGCGATTACTTTGAAAATTAAAAGCATTATAATCTGATAAATAAATCATATTTATTTCAGTACTTATCTCAAATAAAATTTAAATTTTGGAGCGTCAGTGTTATCACAGAATATTTTGGGAAGAAAATCTCTGCATTCTCCATTGCNCCCATTTTGGGATTATTATATAATTTTCCTTTAAAATTCTTACTGACAGTAATGTGCCCCGCTTCTTGACCGTTGGAATGCTAGTTAGATTACAATAGACATGTCCTTTTACTCCCCTACCCCATTAGACTTTCACAGATTCTGAATTGTGTACTGTCAGTAAAACTGACATCTTATTTGTTCTTCCAGCACATTACACCAGTTTTCCTTGCTGGTAAGTCAGCATGTTCCCCTTCAGTGTTTTTTTCTATGGATTGTATCGATCTCTTTTCCTGTTTAGTGAAACAGTGCCCTAGCTCTGTTTCATTTCCATTGAGTGAGTCTGGTATTTTGGGGGTAAGAATATGAGCTATTAGTTGTCAGACATTACCTGTTCCCTTTATCAGAGACAGAACTATTAGTGACTCTTAGTGACTATTAGTAACTCTTACACAGTAAGGCTCTGAAGGAAACAATGCTGCACCAGATGTACCCTGTCCTTGACTCTCAAAGCAGACAGGTTTCACTCTCAATGTACCAATTGTCAGAGGAAGCAGCCAGTAGCCAGATCATGATAAGCTTAAGCTTGGGTGCAGCAGCTGATTTGTCAGTACTGTGGTCACAGAAATGCAGGAAGATTTTTAGATGTACACGGAGCAAAGAAAGGAAAACATAGGTAAAAATTCTGCCTTGTTGCAATACCACTATAATGTACGTTTTCCCCTCAGACTGTTGCAGAGTCATGAGTGCAAGAAACACAAAGCATCCCACTAATGTGTGTAGAATAACAGTCTTTGCACACTGGTTTTGGAGGTCGTTCTGTAATCTATGAGCCACAAGGGCGGTTCATCATTAATAAAGCACAATAAATCACATGTAACATTCGGTCAGGAGTTTGTGCCATGTTACAGAGATCATATGTAGTGATTCCTGAGACCCCAGTGTTAAACCTGCAATGTAGTTCTCTGGCCACACAAAACTGCTGTTAACAAGGTGTCCATCTGTGACCACCACAGTTGTTGCGATTAGCAAAACACCACGTGTGGTGTGACACATCTCACAATCTAATATCCCAGAACTTCCATCATGGAACGGGGTGTTATGAGAAAAATTTCGGACATAGCCATCAGGGACGACACCATCACACATGAGTATCTTGTCCGTGGTAAATTCAAATGCACTTAGTTTGACTTGACAGTAGGATATAACAATGCAGGATCCCCGAAAGGATTCAGATTGGAATGGTTGCTTAGCCTCTGTGATGTGGCCCCGGTTACTCTTCCCATCTCCAGAATTAGCTGACCGTTTAGCCCTGGTTTTCTTATGTTCATATTGACTGCTGAGAGGCTATTCTTGTTTCCCACTGGTGAAACATGATGTCAAATTCTCATCTGCTGCTCATTTGCTGCCTTCCCACCAACTGCCCTTCTCATTGCAATCTCCATATCGTCTAGGGTCCATTTCGCTCAAAATTTACTCAAGTTGCACAAGTCACTCCTTATTCTCTCATAGACTGCTAAGCAATACATCGGGGCGCCATATAGCAGAGAATAGGAAACCTGACACATGACACACAGGAACTTGTGTACAGCGCAGCCCATATATCACTTAGTGTAAAAAAAAATAAAAGTAAAGTTATCCCTGTAATAGGCCGTGGAGGCCCATAGGGTTGTGAGACATTGAGGTTCCCACATTATCTAGACAATCGGATCACAGATGGTGGTAAGGTTGTTAGCTCTATGCGCCGGCCGCACTTTACTCCCCAGGAAAATTATTTATTTAATTCCTGGTACTCATTTCTGTTAGAGGCTGAGTGAACCCCAAGGTCATAGTGCGGCCAGAAGGATTAGATCAATTGAAAAAATCCAATGACCTCATCGGTATTTGAACCCACGACCTTCCAACTTGTAGCATAGTGCCTAAACCACTATGCTACCGTGTGCCCCCATCAGTTAGTGTATGATCCTGAAATTTTGTACAGATACAGAGCCTCCAAAATGTGCACCTTCTGTTAAAATGGTTTCAACGTTTTAATCTTGTATTTTAAATTAATTATTATTTAGTTAAATGACAATGAATCTCAGGTTTGCTGCATCCACATGTCACTGTAGTTCTGCCAGTAATATGGACATCATTATAATATTGGCGAGTGGAACTCCACATAAGAAGGCCATAGTACCCACAAAACTGGATATTGATTCTAAGATGAAAGGATAGCTCACTGATAACGATAGAAGTAAAATTCCTGAAGAAGGAGAGGGACAGGGAGGTAGCAGCACTCAAGGGACATTTCAATGTATAAAATATTTCTCACACAAATATCTTCAGAAAGTAAAAATGTTTGCTTCTTTATGTGATAACGCATGTGACTCTCCATCACATTTATCCTCTTTGTAGCATAATGAATTCTATCTGTGACCCTAACATATGAGTTTACAAAGAGGAACGCGATCCTCATTTTAACAAGAGGGACAGCGAAGATCCATCATTTAAATTGCATCTGTTCCCCATAATATAACTATCTTCCAGCTCCCTTATAATAAACTTGAAGACTGCTAGACATTGCACTCTTGAACGTGATACTACCAAACTGACCATCATATAAATCCAAGGATGGAGTAATTTCTTGGTGATATCTTTCTTTATCTTCATTACTTCATAGTCCCATGGTGATGATCCTCAGGAATGCATCATTTAGTTGTCACTGTATTTGTGCTAGTAATATTATTTTGATAAGATGAATTTCTGTTGCATTACAGTCATGCAGTTTTGCACACGAGTCAGTAAAAACACAAGAAGCAATGCAATCGCAGAGTGAACTGAAAAGACTTGAGATTGGGATAGAAATTGAAATAAACCCAGAGAGAGATCTGCTGAAGGTAGGAAACAGTTCAATGTCTAAAGTCTCTATTACACGTGAATTTTCTTCTGATTCAACCTCAACTTTATCCCAGCTGATATGATGTGTTAATACTTGCATAAATGTCTGCCTATAAAAAGTTATCCTGAGCTAATGGAGTTTGACCTCACCATTTTCACAATTTTAGCTGCCTATCCTTCTCTTCTTTCTTTGGAATTAACTTGGGAAACTCATTCTGTGAATGTGATTTGCCAGAATTCAGTCCACTGACATATTTTTGTCCTACCATCCCATTCCAATCACCTTTTTATCCTGCTAAGCCAACATCTCCCCCTTAAGTATTTCCCTCTACATTTCATTTCAAACTTCCTCACTGTTCAGAGGCACTGTGCCCTGGCTTTCTGTTTTATTTCCTTTGAGGGAGTCTGGCACTTTGGCAGAAGATTAATACGTAACTGTCAATTGTCTGACATTACCCATTCTGCAGCTAATCATTAATCAGAGATATGACTATTTTTGTCAATTAATATTAATGCTGATGTACCCTGTCTTTGACTTAAAAAGCAGACAGATTTTTGCCAAGATCTTGTTTAACGTATGATCTGGAAGTATGACTGTGTCACAGGTGTGCAGGAACCACTTTAGAAGTACAAGCCAGCAGTATTATATCATTTATGGAGAGAAAGGCTTAGACAAAAATTCCATTGAGTTACTATACCACTTGAGTACTAGCTTCCCCACTAGTTGTTGCAGAATAATGAGTGCAAGGAACAAGAAATATATCACTATTTTCTGTAGGATACCATCTTTGCACATTGAGTTTGGTGAATTGCAAGCAGGTCACTCTTCAACCCATGACTCACAGGGATGATTCTGCATTTATTATTCGCAATAATTCATACAGGAAAAGTGTTAAGATTTTGTGACATGCCTCCTGATTTCACGTGAAATGCCCCATGAGCCCTTATGTAGTATTCTGGCCTTAGCAAGCTGTCCTACAAAAAGCGACCATTCTGATCACCACAGTAACTCAAGACAAAGTGTTGTGTGAGAAAACTCAGCCTAATCTCCAAAAATTTCCATCAGGGGGCAGAGCGTTATGAAAACGAAATCTGATGTAGTCATCAAAGGGGTGACAAATTCCAGGGCCAACGCCATTTCACACGTGTAATTCTCCCATGGCACATTCAAGTGAAATCGACAGCAGAACATAATAACGCAGGAAAACTGAAAGGATTCTGTTGGATAGGTTCAGTCTGGCATCGTGGCTTAGTGAAGGGGTATTGATGATATGGTCCCGGTTACTCTTCTAACATCCAGAATTTGATGACTGCTTAGCTCTGGCTTTGCTCATGCTCGTATTGACTGCTGAGAGGTCATTCTTATTTGCCACTGGTGAAACATACGACATTTAACGTCTTTCCGAATTATCACGTGGGCTATATTTGCTGCACTCACGCCCAATGCCCTGTTCACTGCTACCCACATGTCATTTTAGGGTTATTCCATTCAAAGTTTCTGAAGTTGCAAACGTTGGTCTTTATTCTGTAGCAGACTGCTAAATGCACTTGGACACCATATAGCATTGCATAGGACACCTGATTCCAGCTCTTACGAGTTTCTATAAAGGGACATTACGAAACAATGACACGGCTTTCAGGCGTCACGTGACAATATCTTAATTTTGCATTATATTATACTACTCGTATTACAGCAAGGAATTCTACCTACACACACACACACAGAGAACAGCAGGCCTAATACCACATGGTATATGAACCTGAATTTTGGTATCAATTCAGAACTTTAGAAATATGCAACTTCTATCTAAGTGCTTCTGCATTTTATTGCTATATTTTAATTAGCTTCATTATTATTTAGTTAGATTACAATACAACTCAGGATTGCTGCATCCACATATCACTGTAGTTCTGCCAGTAATATGAATTTACATTGTATTACAGGCATGCGGATGTGCACATTCGGACATGTTTGCTCATGCAAACCTGGAATTACATGATACTGTTTCGATACCAATAGTGATTGAGAAGGAAACAGAGTGCTGAAGCAGCACCGAACAGTTAATTTGAGGTAAGGATCATTTCTCATGCTAATTTCATGGAATTTCAACTTGTGAGCCTCTTTATGCGATGCACATGGGACTTTGCTTTGGATTTAAACTCCCTTTTCCTAGTATCATAATTTATAAAGCACAATAGATCATTGATGGTCGCAGTGCTAAAGCCAGTTTTATGGTCCACCCCTCATACTCACAATAATTTATATCAGTGATACAATTGTATAAGTTCGGAAAAAAAGCCAGATTTTCATTTTAATAGGAGTGACAGGAGGATCCATCATTTGAAATATGCCCCTTAATGCTCAGTGTAAATCTTCACAATTTAACATCATTTTTTCCAACAAACGTTTAATGAGCTTCCTTAATTCACAGAAGAAATTCAGTTTAGCTTATATGTGCACTATATTAATTCAAATGTAACAGTAAAATTTAGCACGTGCACTATATTTCTAATGTTTACTGACGAATTATTTCCAGGGCTTGAGACAATTTTTTTCCACTCTTAGAGGGCTCTATTATGAGCATAAAATATTATTAGAAGTTAAAATAGGTTTTCTTAAGATTGCTTGCACAAGTGTTAATGATCAGATGGCTGTTCAGAAGCTAGAGTTCAGCTCAGAACCTGATATCTCGCATTCCTCAGTCATGCGATCAAATGTAGTGTTATCATATAGAAAATGTTTACGAAATGGGTGAACAACACCTGGGCAAGTCTCTGAAACGGGATGTAGACGGCCTGTAAGGAATTGTTGACTTTAAAGTTTTTTGAGGGATCAGCATTTTTGCGAGTCATGATAATATACGACAATATTTGGAACTTGAATTTGAGAAGTTGGTCTCGAGAAGTCGTCTGGGGCGGATGATCTGCCAGTAGAGTCGGCATGGTGTCACAACCTTCACCATATTCTGTGACTCTTCAGGTCGCATGTGTAACTTGGCTGTGTGCAGATCACTGAGAGTTAAGAGTATAAATCCGGTTCATTGCTTGTTGGAATAAAATTTTGTTTCACTGATTGGTAGAATCACTATGCTGATCTGAGATGTTGAGTGGTTTGTTCAGTTTTTGCAACTCTTAGTTTAACTGGAAGGAGTAACAGATATACACAGGAGCCCGGTAGGGGTGAATGCAGCCACTGACCACTTGGGTTACACAGGGCGCTATGAAAATGAACTTGGAAGTACAGGTAATGAGCCACACTCTTGCAGCAAGCCTCAAAGCTCTAAGGCTACAGGTAAGGACCACGTCACTCTATAGTGTGAATTAGGTTCTGTCATGAAGCAAGTGGCTCATGAGAATAATGAGCTAGTTCTCAGACAAATGTCATTGTCATCATCATTTATTACTTATTAAACTATACATCAATACACAAGTTACATAGAATATGACACAACTATCAATGTTTTCAGGGTAATAAAATGATTGAAAAGCAGAACACTCTGTCAATAAATTCAACTGTGAGAGAAAATGGTGAAGAAGATTTAAGAATGAGAATTAAAGTAATTAAGTGTACAAATCTTCTATAACAACAGTCCTTTGAAATGTGTGTTACGGTAGCTCATTAATTCTTTTAATGTTCTTTCAGGAGTGTGCTGTAGTGAATACCTGGCAACAGCTGCGTNAATGATACTTTCTCAACCCTGATGTCCCTACTTTCCCCCGCTACATCTGTTCAGTGATTCCCTACAGCACGCCTCTGACTCATACGCATACGCACTAGGGTTCTGTCTTCCACTAGTCGTCTCCTAGCAACGGATCTCCACACAGAAACTGCCAATTCAGACCACTCCAAGTATTGCACATGAAATCCAGTCACGCTTGACATCCTCACAGGACGACCTTCTGTATTCCTGGTTCCATTCCTCATATATTCCTCATATTCATTCATATAAACCCCAAATACAGAGTGGGGGTATGTGACGTCACTCGCGGAAATGCAGGGGTCACCTGACTGCTCATAACTGCAGTATGACGTCATCGCGCCTGCGCAGGGATCTTGTTTTCCGGCTGGCGCTTAGAAGCGGGTTCCACAACTTCGTTCCACATCCCGTCGCCCAACAACCCTGATGTCCCTACTTTCCTCCACTACATCTGCTCCCTAATCCCCACAGCACACCTGTGACTCCCTCACTTTACCTCTCTCCATTACATGTTGGTTCCATGCCCAACACACCCTTACATTATTATGGAACACGTTACATATGACTTATCTATTTTTACTGTCATATAATTATCCTTAATTAACGTTCATGACAAATTAATGGATGGGCCCCACTGGCCATCATACTATATTCAATTTCGGTCTGCCCTTCTCGGTTGCCTCTACCCCCTTTCACCACTCAGTCTCTAACAGCAAGTGGGCCCCCTGTCTGGGCAACTTTGACAGTTACTTACATTTACTATAAAAATTTCAACATCCAAAAACCTACAATTTTCAAAACGCAAATAGGATGAAAACTGTCAGGAGAAGATAAACCGCTCAAAGAGAAACTGACCCAGTCACCAAAAATTCCACATGACCTGTACTGGTATAGAACACAGATCACCACCGCTGTGGTGGGAAGTGGTGATTAACTGTATGGCACAAGCCAATTCAAATTAGATGTAACCCTTATCCCTAACGAACTAAATAACAACTCCATGGAGCCACCAGTTGCGCAGTTACCCGAAGAGTTTCCCAACATTTTACTGAATCTGACGTACCACTAGCAAGTTCACAAGAGTCTGAACCGATCCTTATCCTCAGCCAGATCAATCCAGTTCATATTTGGCAAAATTATAATTTTGTATATTGAAAATGTTACATTTTTTCGTAGCAAACAAACAGACGAAACGTACTGGACTGAAAGGTATTAATCATTACCACACTTCCGCCTGAAACACATTTGATTTATTACTGGCATTCCCATATATGCGAACGCATCACATTTTCAAATATCTATCGACAATTTTCACGTTATGATTTTTCCCAGCATTCTGGTAAAGAGACATAAACATACACTTTTTCTTTGTGTTTACTTCTAAAGTTTCTGTGTTTTTCTTTCTGGTATCTATATTATCTCCCGTTAGATAATCATCATAAGTAAAGACGAGTAGCTGATATGTTCAACTTAATTTTAGTCCCACCTAGATTTCCTGAACAATCCTAATGACATATTCTAGAGCAAAACTGAAAAGTAATGTCATTAAAGAAGCTCCTTGTTTTAGACCAATCTGCTGAAAGAGAAATGTATCAGACAGATGTCCTCCTATGCGGACTTTATTATAGATTTCATTCAACACATTTTAATCAGCCTTACCATTTCATAGGTGCCCCAAACTCTTACGATTGAGACAGGCATTTCTTGAAGTCTATGAATAGCTGATGTATTGTTCCAGAGCACTCTAATGTTTTCTCGAGTACCTGAATCGAAAAAATCTGATCTGTAGTTGATCTGTTACCTCAAAACCCAAACTGAAGATATCCAATACTTTTGTTTACGTATGCACTTAACCTTGAGAGAATAAGAGTGAATAAAATTTTGTACGAAATTGATAACAGCGATATCCCACACTAATTAATACAGTCAGTTTTATTACAATTTTTGTGAAATGGTACAATAATAGACTGCTTCCCTTGATTAGGCAATTCTTCCTTTTTCCAAATAGAATTAATTAGCTTATGGATCTTCTAAGGTAATATTTCACCACCTGCTTGAATTAGTTCTACCGGAATTTGATCATTATCTTGCAATTTACACTTTTTCGAATATAAATAAGAAGGAGGGCGAGGATCAGGTACAAATGGCTCAGCAGCATGTATTTCTATCTGCTTAACATCTATAACCCCTTGTACATTCAATAGTGGAAATCTGCGAGCTGATCGCCACTCTAATCCTTCAGTTCCTTCTTTCTAATTAAAGAAAAAACCATGGCGTGCCCCATTCTAGATTTCAGCCCCTCTTAAATTTATTTATTCCCTTATGCAGGACTCTAATATTCTTTTTCTTGCTGTTCATTGCAAGGTTATTAATTTTTTCATTAGAATAATCCTGTTTCCTTTTTATAATGCCTGCTGGCTTCACGTTATCCCTATTTACTTGGCTTGCATCCTGTACCCATTGCGATATGACTTATTTCTTCTGATCTAAGAGCTGTGAACATCCTTCGTTGAGCCGTGGCTTAAACTTCTTCAATTCGTAATTGCCTAGAATCTCTTTGGCTGAAATTTTTATATTCTAACATTTTCCCGAGCGCTTCTTCCAAAGATGCGTACCTACGTGAGATTTCAATTCAGTGCTACGAGTATAACGTAGCTCGTGATTCAAACAGAATGTCAGCCCTAAACTACCACTTACACGAAATATTTAATAAAGAATTTCCCTGAACTCCTTTTGGACAATTTTTCCTATGCGCCTATTCTTATATGGTACATTATATCCAAGTGTATGGACAGACTGGCGAAATTATTTGCTTCATGTTCATGGGAATCTCTCACATTTTGTAAACTGTACGCAGTCTACACATCAAAATTTTGCATTTAAAAACAAAGTAGACACTATTGTATTAACATTTTGTTTTTATTGACGCAACGTGTTTCACATTGAAACATAGCATATATAGCGTATACATATACAGTATTCTGGAGACACTTCTGGTAATGGTCAGTGCTGTCCAAAACGTATACAGGTGTATTTATATTGTGATAGTTTGGGCAGTTTCTAGGAGATGAATATGTAAACATGTTCCAACCAACGAGCATTCAACAATATCGGGCGTCCGTTGCTAGGCAATATACGGGTGGACACGCCTGACAGCAATACATAATATCCGTTGCTAAGCAGCTATTTGTTTTCTGTCGGTGGTCCGTGACGACCCTGTATAAGGAGGAGTGAACACTGTTTGAGGAAATTACCTATGTGGAGGCGGGGTAGAATACCTCCACCGTGACCCTGCGAGTCATAGGAGGCGACGTAAAGGGAAGTCTCAAATCTCAGACAGTAAAATAA